GGATCGCCGATTCGTCGATCTGGATCGGTTTTTGAAAAGCCCGATCCGGGACACCGATCCGGTTTTTAAACCATTGGTCAGAAGGGAAGGATGAACCTCGCATCGTGTCTTCGGTTGGAAGAGCAGGAGGAACTCTGCTTCATTTATGAGTTGAGCCTCTAGGACCCTGGCTACGATCAACGGGGGATGGGAGAGAGTATCAACCTCATCGGCAACATTGAGACTGGCGAGTGAAGGCCGGGGAATTTCAAATAAGGAATAGGCGGAAGGAATTCTTGCAGAAATCCAGGAGTTCCATGTGAAGATGGTTGAGCAAGAAGCCTCGCAAAAATAAAAAAAGAAAAAAAATCGTTAAGACAAATACCTAAGAATTTGACTTCATCTATCTTAGGGACCTAATCCAGGAAATCCTTGTGAAGATGGTTGAGTAAGACGCCTTGCAAAAAACAAAAAAGCAAAAAAATCGTTAAGACAAATATCCGAGAGATTGACTTCATCTATCTTAGGGACCTAAATGGCGAACAAAGGACCTGTGTCAGAAGAGCGCTATGAATTGAGCGATAAAATCCTTAATAATGCCTCTATGCTATCAGACACTTCAAATTGTAGAAAGCCCTCTTGATACAGTTGAGAGGAGGACCCCTCTTCATGAATGGTGATTACGGGTATTGGATTATCATCAATTACGGGAGCTTTTCCCTTAATTTCCCTTAATTCATCTTTCTCAATAGGCTCAGACCTCAAATTTCCCATGGGATCCTTTGTTGCAAAGTGGCTTGAAGGGAAACCTTCATCCAATCTGAGGGAGACGGGGATGCCCATTAAAGCATCAATAATGCCTTCATCTTGATCAGAGAATGATGCGGATCATAAAAAATGAAAGATACTTCTCCGTATGCCTCGGTCCTAAGAGCTGGGGAAGAAGGTGTTGGGGAAGAAGGTGAAGGAGTGTCTAATTCAATTGTATAGATTTCTCCAACCTTCTTCATCTTCTTGGCCTTGGTTTTACGGTGTAGGCCAGGACAAGAGGTAGGCCCTTTTGTTGGGCCGCCCCTTGGAACCCTTGTTGAAGGAATGAGCGATGAACTCAAATGTGGAACTCCAAACTCTGGCGCCTCATGGGTTATGTCTGAAGATTGCAAACCCTTGGATCTCTTTGGTAATCCCTTAGAGGTTGGAGGTGAAGGGCTATTTTCTTTCCTCTTGCTTCTGCCCTTTAGGCCTATATCGGAATTTTTGGATTTTGCAGCATGAGCATCAAATTCCGTTGAAGGAACTTTGGCAGCTGAAGGGCTCTGGTTCTTCTTCTTGCCCTTGATTAATGGTTCATATTCTGACGTCCCCGTCAAAGGGGATGTGCTCTTGGTCTTTCTGGTACTCTTGGATTTTTCTATGGAAGTAGGAATTGCAGGACGTTTAATGGACTGAGCAGTTTTTGGGTTGGTTATCCGATTAATGTTTCCAAGGAAAGGGTCTGGATACCTCTCTTGTGCCCCTAGCTTGTTGGCCAATAGATCTGCCAAATGATGATAGAAGGATTCTCGACTCCCATTCATGTCCTCTTTCGTGATCTCAGCATCCACAGGATGTTCGATGCTAACGGTGTTGCAAACAAGCAGAAAGTGCATTCCTGTAGCCTAGTTACCAGAAATGTCATTGATATGTGGTTTGTAATGGGTGACTGATTTCCCTTCTTGCCGAAACTTGCGCATCTCTATCACGAGTTAAAGGTAGTAGTCCCTCTTAACCATTATACCAAAGGCAATAACAACATGTTGTGAATACACTTTTTATGTAGTGAGGGACGACGAACTTGCACATGCGGCCTAATAGTGTGCAAGAAATCCAGGCAGTTTTGACACTTGTTGGACCAATTTTCTCCTCTCTTGAGGATAAAATATACTTGGTAGTTCTGATCTAACATGTGCTACCTCACAAACTGATGAGGGCTATATAGCTTGATCAACTTCCTGACATCAATTCTGAGATGGACGAGGGACCCTCGGATACCAAGGAAATACATTTATCTCCCGATGGGTAATCCGATCTTCATAAATTTGATATTGATAC